GTATGTCCTTTTACGCAAAAACTACGGGACCGTTTAAAAATAAATTTGTACTCAGAGTCTGAGAAAGAAGAAAGGGTACATTTAATGCGATAAAAAGTTGAAAGTGGTATTGGAAATTTATATGGAAGTATCTCTCTTTTAAAAGTCCTAACTTCAATATTTCATCGAATACTGAAATTAGAAATGCTAGCAACATTGTAATACGCAGGCGACATATCATAGAAAGTTGTAAATGTTCTTTAGTGGGCTGTAACTGAAGTAAAGTAGGAATCGTCCGCCGGAACTCACTTTATAGCCCCCAGGCCCAGTCTAATCGTGGAAAAGCAACACAGGTAGGACTTGATACGAAAATAGAAGCGTTTCCGACATTGTTGTGTGGTACAAGTGAAAAGCTTTGGTAACTTTTGTTGTTCGATTTATTTTAATTCAAGACTCTAAACTTGGTAATGTCCACGTCAACACGATTGTAACATAGAAATTCAAAAGAACGATCGCAATGTTATTAGAAGTGAAATGTTATAAAATTAAAGAAACTAACTACTTAAATCCACTTCTTCGTCGTTGCAGTCGTTTCAGACTGGTCGTGGGCATCAAGTATCAGTGACCCGCTTTACCAGGCGCCGCTTCTCCCTAGTCCACTTCTGCCAAATCTTTAATAAATATTTTTTTATCTTATATGAACATACGGAAAGATATCCTTTTACTATATATCTCTTTCTCTAACAACTACAACCTTTCCTTATAAGAAAAAAGTTGACCTCCGGTACACAGAACATATTCCTCATCGTCGTCTTAAAATTTTAATGTAAGCGTGACATGACAGTGAAGACAATGAAATACAAACAGAAGAATCACAGTGAATTTGTAAAAACTAAAATATCTTACACGAATTTTAACCATTTACGCAACCAATATTTTCCATCAGAAATCGCTTGCGCTTATAAATTGGGCCAGTTGTCAAAGACTACGCCCAGTAGACACTGTGTAAGGCGCGGCCTGCACACTACGGCTAATGGATTACTTTTTTTCAGGCCATTTATTACCATTTACAGATTACATGACCTCACTAATGTAATTTTCCGCTCGACCATTACCAAGGAACGTAAAATGGGTCATCAATACGTACTTAATATGCAAAATTTGTATTTCCGTATTCAGTGTTTTTTTTACTACATTCAGTACTAGATGCCGCTCGCGACTACGTCCGCAAGGAATTAAAAAAAACATAATTAGTAGCCTATGTTCTTCCAGATTATGTTCTATATGTATGGAAAATTTCATCAAGATCCGTAGAACGGTTCTGGAGATACCTTCAAACAAACATCCATCCTAAATTTTCGCATTTATAATAGTCTGAGCTTATCACCACCTCAAAGGCCGTCAACGCATCTGCGGTTCCTCTGGTATTGCTGATGTTCATGGGCGTCGTTGAACACCTCGGTGTTCCCGCTGCTCGTTTGCCCCCTTCTGTTATAAAAAAAAATAGTAGTTAAAAGTAAGATTTTTTTTATTATTTTTTTAGTAAAACTTTATGGATGTTTTTGGCTTTTAATATATTTATATTATTTGCTATATAAAAGTGAAAAAGAAAATTTAAGTTCAAACAAGGTATGAATTTAAAAAGTTTTAACTTTGTTCAAAGACCGACTGCGGTCTTTAAAGTCACATCACTAAATTATATTCTAAAGATATAACTTAACCAAATCAGTTGCCTAGCAACCGAATAACAGTTTTGCTTTTCTATCAATATTTTCCAAACTGCCAGTCCTTTACCACTACTCAGAGAAAACGTTCAACGATTAAAAATCGATATTTTAATTCGAATTAAAAGTGAAAATTTAATCGATTTAACTCGACCTTAACATCTTTAGTGTATTGATTTAAAGTCCGGCGTAAACTGGGCCAGGTAAATCGTCTTTGTCTATTCGATGTATGTACACTTGAATGCTTTTGTCTTGCTTGCACTTCTGTAGTCTATATTAAGCTCTCCCACTCTATTGAAGATTGACGCATTTGAAACTAGGTTAAGAAAAGTGCTTGTTAGTTTCCTTTGTTACGTAAGTTCTACTAGAAACCTATATTTTAGTTATCTTATTAATATTATAAATGCGAATGTTACATTGGATAGATGTTAGAAGATATCTCCAGAACGGCTGTATGAATATAGCTAAAATTTGGCTTAGATGTAGAACATAGTCTGGAAGATTATATAGACTACTAATTAAGTTTTTTTTTAATTCCGTGCGGACAGAGTCGCGGGCAACAGCTAGTATAAAATAAAAAAGCCTTATTGCCATGTTAAAATCGCTAGAGAGGTCTTCTGCCATCTTTCCCTTTTCTTTACCTTAATATAAAGTAGTGGGAAGAAACAGGGGACAAATGGATTTAACTTTTGTTGCATTATTTTTTTAATGTACTTCCTAGCTTTACCTTAAATAGTAAATTCTAAAAGGGATATTTCTGTGGCCACAATACACGCTTTCCTAAGAACTGGTGTACGCAGTAATAATTTGTTGCTCGTTAAAATGTAGTGTTCGTTGAACCAGCGCCCCTGGCGGCGGTTTATAGAACCCGGTTTGAGTCCGTGCCAGGGATACGATAAAGGTGTTTATCCATTATTTATAACTGAATATTTGTATTTATAAATAAACCTAGCGATACTTCATTTATTTTATCAATTGCTGTAACTGACGTACTGATGACGTACTGGCCTTTTCAGAATATCATTGTTTTTACCCCCTCAGAGGTAATAAACATTTTCCTCCCTCTTCACGCAGTCGCGTTAAAAAGGGATCAAGGGGGTTGTGGATTAGGGTGGGGTGATCGCCAATGAAGCAATTCCGAGAAGACGGTAACATTGCGTGGTCCGATGTTGTTTCGACAATCTCGATCGATCGAATCTTGCGAAGGCACTAGGAAGTATTTTCCTGGAGCCGTGCAGAAGCCCTTTGCAAAGGGTTCCGGTACGTTCCTTTAGAGATCCCGGGACCCTCGCAGTCGCACTTGAGGTTGGACACCGAGGGGGTTTTAGTAAGAATCTCACATAACCATGTCTTTCCTCCAAAAGGCAGGCTATCTTATATTTATAATATTAGTTAGATACACAAAAATGAATTTCAAATTGTATGCGAACGAATGTTCATGTATAGTGTATTACCACCTTTATACAAGTCTGGTTTATGTTAAAATTTGAAAGATTAAAAGCCATTAAATAGTTATTGATGTGGATTTTTCTCAGTTCGATTTCATGTGGTCATAAAAACATTACAGGAAACTCAGAAACCGACACTATAAGACTACGACTGTAGTTTTGTTAAACCGAATAAAATTTATTGCTACTGAACGGTTTGAAATGACCGTAAATTACGCTATTGATAGCTATATATTTATAGTCAAAACCTACTTTATAGTGTGTCTATTTAAGATAGATTAGTTTGACAAATCATTTGACAATGCACTATAGATAAGTTGTTTAAAATCGGTTACGAAAATTTTCAATTGTCGTTCTCATAGAACGTGAAGTCGGAAATTTTGTGATTATTCTTTTTGAATTAAAATGTAAATAAACCACAAAAATATTAAACCATAAATCGATATGACAAGAAACAAAAAAACTATCTCTAATGATTTTTAACTTAATTGCGCGACACATAGCTAAATATCTGTAATACATTCAAAAAGTAATAAAGAACCTAAGTTATAGTGTTTATTTGTTTGATTTATATTTTCTCGGTCGTTCCAAAACTATGACAAGCGTCCAAGAAGTACAACATTAATATTCATACAAAATTAATTCGATACTTCATAGGCGTCAGTTGTCAAACTAATCTATCTTAAATAGACACACTATAGATATATGTTGCTTCGTAATTTGGTAGTGTTATCAAACTGATAATATCCTGATAACGGCTTATTGAATGTTACTCGTTAAGGTTGAATGAAAGGTCTAATTTTTGGTAAAAATATATCAACTTTATACTAGCAATTTGTCTGTGTGTCTGTCTTAAAAACATTCCTCCTTGAACAGATAATTAACTTAAAAATGCATGATACCCAATCTTGTTAATTTTACAAAATATAAATGCAAATATTTAAATGGATATGGTTACTATAAATATCTCTATAACGACTTAACGGATCTTGATGATATTTGGCATAGATGTAGAACATAATCTAGAAGATATAGACTACAATTTTTTTCAATTCCATAGATGGAGTCGCGGACGACAGCTAATATTGCAAAATTGCGTGAATTTCCTACTCAAAGTTCCAGCAATCACGGAAAATTGACAAATTACTACGCAAGATTTGTGTTATAGCTTAAAGCTTTTAGAGTAATATTTCCTAGATATGTTACCTATAGATAGATTGTTTAAACTATGACATATATTAGATTCAATTTATAAAGTGTCATTTTATGTATATCATAAGGTGGCGAACGAGCGACCTGAAATCGCTGAAATAGCGAAATAGCTGACCGTTGCCCATAGACATACGCAATTGCATATGCGTTGCCTACCTTTAATCGACGGAGGAGAGGATGCACACAAAGAAAACATTTCCATGCATCCTCTCATCTGGAAAGTCCACTTCCACTTCCCATCCTTGCCTTATAAGATATAAGATAAAGAATATGTATATAAATTTCTTAAAAATCGGTCAAGCAGTTCCGTGGAGTATGGTAACTAACAATGGCACAAGAATTTTATATATAAGATATATCTATGACCTATTTTATGATATTCGTTTCGGGTTCTATTCTCGTTTTTAAAAAATGCCTCGTGTTAGTTCTATCATTTCACATGTAATTTCGTGCAAAATGCAGAGTACCAGATTCTGGATATTCTGCAGAGTACCTAGAAAATGTGTCAAATAATGTATTGGAACGTGGTTAACGAGGGCCTCGACACCCTTAAGGCTTGGGAACCTCGGTCTCCTGTGTGACCTGATGAATTGTATTTTTCTAATGACAGAATTTAAAATATTTATTTTTCTTTCAGTTTTCTATTCATCATGGACGATCGTACAGTGGACCTGATCTTCGCAGGATCTCTGAAGCTGCTGCCGCCTGTTAGCTCAAAGATCGTGAGGATATTTACCAGCTCTACCTTCACTGGTAAGGAATGTTCTTTATTTAAGAGTAGCAGTCGCCTGAGACTCTGTCCATACGGATTAAAATAAGATAATGAGTAGCCCATGTGCTTCTCCAGGCTATGTTCTACATGGGTACGGACGAGAGCGAAAGCGTGCCCGTGGCCCCGTCCCGATGCGTTGGAGGAACAGAGAGGTTTAGTGGGTATGCCTCCACTATGGAGGAGAATCCCACATAACTACCGCGTCCCCCGGGGGCGCGGAGTATGGATAAAGCATTCCTCTCTGGAAAAAAAAGCTATGTTCTACATCTATGCCAAATTTCAGCAAGATCCATGCAGCCGTTATTAGATATTTTCTACCATCCAAGTATAATCTAGAGACTACTTAATATGATTGATTTTTTTTTAAAGTAAGTAACTAATAACTTAGAAGAAAATTAAAATTATATTACGCAATAAAATTTTACGATTCTACGATTTAATACTAAATATTTCTTAAACTTCTAATATCAAACTCTAAACTTCTGGTGCACTTCGAAGGATATATTAACAATCGAGTTTACTTTAAACTAAACTCTGAGTTTAGTTGAAGGTATTGAAACTTTATAAGACACGAAAAAACTGGAAACTTATGACGAAATATTATACTAATGTTTATAACTAAAACAGATTTTTTTTTATATCAAAAGGTGGCAAACGAGCGAGCGGCCACCTGCAATCGCTGAAATAGCGAAGTGACCGTTGCCCATAGACATACGCAATTGCATATGCGTTGCCTACCTTGATTCGACGGAGGAGAGGATGCACAGAAAGAAAATATCTTCCCTTTCCATGCATCCTCTCATCCGGAAAGTCCACTTCCACTTCCCATCCTTTCCTTATAATAAGAAGGGTGGGAAGGGAAAGAGGATTAAATTAGGCCTCCGGGACGCACACTCATCAGACGAAACTCGGAATTGCTTCCACTTGACGCCTGTCTTCTGTGTGGTCGTGGTATTTCACCGGGCGAGCCGGGACAATTCGTGCGAAGATGTTAAAGCGGGCTCTACCACTGTTAGATTTTATTTTCATTAAAACAATTGAAAATATAAAAAAAGTTATTTTACTATAAATAATTTTCCTAAAAAGATCACATTTCTCCCAATTGATGGCTCATGATGCCTTAGTAACTAAAGGCCATTTCATAATTACGTAAACAGTCCTTAGTGTTGATTACTCTTACTAAACCTACACTAAGCATTCCTAGTATAACTTTAAGTGACTGTAGCAGTAAGCGTAATTCACATCTAATACCTACTTTATAGATTGTATTAATATTAATATATTTATGGCCAACATCTATTTTATAATCCCGAGAGGACGAAGTCGCGGGCGACAGCTAGTATAAATATAAGTATAGATTTAACTACTCCCCGTAAACTAATAAACTTTCAAAACATGCAAAGATATTTGATTAACGCATTACCTCCTTCACTCCTCAGTTCGAAGGTAAAAGGGGGGTTGTAGGGGGGATTCAAGGTAACTTTTAATTAACACATTATGAGATAGTGAGAACGATTACGTCAAAATTTAATTAATGTCTGAAATAGTAGCACTTTGCGATATTAATTGGTTTACCAATATCGTATTAGATTTTTATATTTTATGGAATACTAGCTGTCGCCCGCGTCCGTCCGCGCGGAATTAAAGACTTAATAAGTAGTCTATGTGTACTTCCAGGCTATGTTCTATATGTTTTTTCTATATGTTAATTCTGCGCTGAAGGAGTTGTGGGCGCTAGTATTGTCTTAACTTGAAAGAATAAATTAAGTTTCCGAAACTATAAATACTTGTGAGAAATTTATAACTAACATTTATAAGTTTAATTCAACAGGAAATTTATTTCCTTGGCACTGAAGTTAACCATTTGAACGCCGCCTTACTTTGCATGCAACTGCAGCAACGTTCAAGCAGATTATGGCGTAGTTTATAATTACATTAATTAAACTTTGTTGAAAACTGCAGCTAAATACTACACGATTTTTTTTATTTAAACCTAAACATAATATCATTAAACTTGGTAACAGTAAACATAGACTTTTTTACTATAGATTTATGTATTTCCTATCGTGAGTGTCCAAGAGCAAAATCTCTGTATAAAACATATCGTCATCCCTGTCATTATCTTTGGAAAAACAGAGATAACAATATGTTTACGGAGATTTTGGTTTCAGTAATCCATGGTTTTTATCAACGTTTAAATTCTTAGTTCGTCGGTGGCTTAGGGATTTAGCACTTGACTTGCAATCTGCAGGTCCTGGGTGCGAATCCCGCCATGTACCAATGTGTTTTTCCATTTACAATTTACATATATACATTTATCCGACGTTCTTACGGTGAAGGAAAACATCGTGATGCTGCACATATCTGAGAAGAAATTCAAAGATATGTGTGAAGTCAACCAACCCGCACTTGGCCAGCGTGGTTGACTATGGCCTAATCATCCTTAACTTATGGTAGGCTCCGAGCTCCTCAGTGGGGACTTATAGTGAGCTGATGATGATGAAATTCTTAGTTATATATTAAGATTATTATTCCAATGTTTTTAGCCTTTAAAATTAAATTTACAAAATAAGCTTTTCTCGGATTGCGTGTAGAACGCCAGTCAGTTACGCCTGGTAATTTTTTACCAAAGTAATTTACGTTAGTTTTTTTTATTTAAGGGTACAAAATCTAATCGTACAATGTACATAACTTTATCTTGAAATTCCAATGTATCCTCTTTCTGTGCGTCTCTCCGCTGTGCATAGGGTAATCATCTGCAATTGCGAATGCCTGTTCAGCGGGCACTACGCTTCGCCGAATGCCACTGGCCGCTTGCTCGTTTGTCACCTTATAATTGTGTCAGAAATAAAAAAGAAAAAAAATTCTTTTTGAGAAAATTTTATCTCTTTTTAGACACGGCAATGGAAAGGAATACATTAATGGCGAAGTGTTATCCACGAATCAAGGACTACTGCAGAGAGAAGCATGGCTTGGAGTTTCAGGTGTGTATTATAAAGATATTAGCTGTCGCCCGCGACTTCGTCCGCTTGAAATTAAAGAATTAGCTACATGTTTTACCAGACTACATTTATGCCGACTTACATCGATATCCATGAAGCTGTTCTGGAAATATTTTCAAACATCCATACATCCAAACATTGACATAATCGATAGATTTAAAAAAAAAATTATAAAAAACTTTATATTTTGTCTTTATTATAAAAAACATACTTGGGTGTACTCTTTAAATATTCTAGACAATAGACAAGAAATATTTCTAGATTTTATGATTTTTTACAACATTTACTGACCAAGATATTTGCCATAGAGATAAATATTCCCCCGCAAATTATAATATAAAAATAATTATATTATAAAATAATTAAATAACAATTTCTTGAATAAAGATTATAATATTTTACAAAAAACAACACCCTGTGTTTGTTTAACATACGCACTTATTTATATTGACCACGGACAGGTGAAATTAATGCAATATAATACTGCTAATTTAAAAAGCTATTATACTACCAAGAACAATAAAACAATTCGGAACAATTATGTATAATTCGCATAAAACAACCACGTAAATAACCATGGGCTTTCACTGTTTAAGCACCAGTACACTAGCATATTATCATCCTTGTCATATTCTTTGAGAAAGAAGAGAACAGTGGGAAACAATGGAATTCTACCATTTACTATAACTAGTGTTTTTATGGTGTGATAAAAGACATACAGACACACAATACGTTGTTTATTATAATCATAATAAGAGATATATATCGCTAGCTGTCGACCGTGACTCCGTCTGGTATTAAAACATTATAGTCTATGTGTTCGTCCAGATTATGTTCTGTGTATGCCAAAATTCAGCGAAATCCAAACGGTATTAAATATACCTTCTAACATCCAAATATTCGCATTTATAATATTAATAAAATGCGTTGCCTACCTTTAATCGAAGGAGGAGAGGATGAACAGAAAGAAAATATTTTCCCTTTCCATGCATACTCTCATCCGGAAAGTCCACTTCCACTTCCCATCGTTTCCTTATAAGAAAAACGGAGGGAAGAGAAAGAGGACTAAATTAGGCCTCCGGAACGCACAAACATCAGACGAAACGCGGAATTGCTTCCACTTGACGCGTGTCTTCTCTGTGGGCGAGCCGGGACAATTCGTGCGAAGATGTTAAATCGGGCTCTACCACTGTTCACGTTGTGTTGATAAAAGTCTGTTTATTTTAATTCATTCCCGGTATATGGATTAAAAAGACAAACTCTTTCCCGAAATCGAAGCAGCCATTATTGTCTCCGTTTGAATCTATTTCTCAGTATTTGTTGACAAAAACGTCTGAGATACGAAAATTATATATTATGAGAGAAGAAAATAAAAGGATATTGTTCTTTTATAGATATGTTTTATATTTAAACAATAATGTCGTGTTTATGAAGATTTCTTTTATCATCATCAGCTTACTATACGTCCCCACCGAGGGGCTCGGAGCCTACATTAAGTCAGGGGTGATTAGGCCATAGTAAACCACGCTGGCCCAGTGCGGGTTGACTTCACACATATCTTTGAATTTCTTCTCAGATATGTGCAGCATCACAAGGATTTCCTTCACCGTAACGTCGGATAAATGTACATATGTAAATAAAAAAACACATTGGTACATGGCGGGATTCGAACCCAGGACCTGTAGATTGCAAGTCAAGTGCTTAACCCCTGAGCTACTGACGCATATTTTCGTCTGTTATGGCTTAACTTGAGAAATGTCTTTGTTGACTTTAATCATAATCACAGATATTTAACTATTATTTAAAAAACAAAATCAACAGTTATTTTTTATACTGTATCCTTCAGTTACATCAATCAGAGTTTGATAAACCGAAGGATATGGATTGAGTAAACGGAAAACATAAAATTTAAAAGCGGATTAGGAAAATAAGCCGACGGATGAAGTTCCGAGGAAAACGGATAACATTAGAATACGAGACTTTATGATGAATTCTCAAAAGTAAAATAAATATTCTATATTTAATTTCAAAAGAGTGATTTCGGATTTGTGGATTCGGTGGCGTATGAAATCAACTACCATTATTCCGATAGTCGTATCGGTAAATGGACTGATAGCGAAGAGCTTCGACCAACATCTCAAGAAGCTCTCGCTACACAGTTGGATTAAGGGCCCGATACAAAAGGCAGTTATCCTAGAAACCGCACGCATCGTGAGGTTCCTGTCTCTGCAGCCCTGACCACTGGTTGTTTGAGTCATGGGACTCCGCAGCCGGTGGTGTTCTATTTTTAATATAATATGTTTTGTATATTTTTTTTGGACATTAAATATGATAAATATATTTTTGATAGAAATGCGAATGTATAGATGGATGGATGTTTGAAGGTATCCCCGGAACGTCTCAACGGAAAATAGTCTGGAAGAACACATATATACTTGTTAGGCTTATTTTATTCCGCGCGGACGGAGTCGTGGGGGACAACTAGCATTTCAAAACAATGATTTGTCAAATATTCGGGCGCTAGTCACAGTATAAAACGGTTGACGTATAAGCTAAAATGTACCGTACCTATTTGAAACACAAAATTTGTATGTATAAGTGTCTGTTTTTAATAAATCTGTGAATACCGTATTAAGGTTAAGATAGATTTGTTTTAATTCCTCATTTCTATTAAAAACTATAAGTAGTTTAAGACATTAATTACAATCCTTTGGCGCGAATGACGTGCTTTCGTTACAAAGTCCAGTATCAGAATGAATAGTGAGGGGACATAAACGTCGACATTTTAGTAAGGCTAGTGTTGTAGTCAACACACTGGTATATTTTCGGATTTTCTTCCTAAATATAAAATATCAAATTTAATGTCTACAAAGTTCTAAATATTCAGTTCTATTTAAACCTTCACGAACAAGTAACAATTAAACACATTAAAAATATTTCTCCGTATAGGATATTAACAACGAAAATCAGTTTTAAAATAGGCGCGTACGCTTGCACGTGGCTAGGTTTCCGTCGACTAAAATAGCGTGTAACGCCGGGTGTTTCAGTAAATGTTTACACTTCGGCCAACACGAGGCGTGATTTTACACTCCGACTGATGTTTGGAAGTAGCTAAAATTGTTACTATAAACATTATGTACTAATAAAAGATCATTGTGAAAGGTTACGCAAAAAACGACGCTTTTGGTTAAGAACAATTCTAGAAAATTACTATATAGCAGCCTATGTGTTCTTCCAGACTATGTTCTATATGTATGTCAAATTTCATCCAGATTCATTCAGCCGTTCCCGAGATACCTTCAAACAAACATCCATCCAAACATTCGCATTTATAATATTAGTATGATAAACAAATTCGATTAAACCATAATATTCGTAAAAAGGAGATTCTTACCACGATTAAGCTGTTCGAGATCCCGATATTTCAGCATACTGTAGACCGAGACTAAGACTAAGGTAGACTGTCTTTAATATTTTTCAAACTACCGCACTGTCAGTCAATCTTTGATCATAGCGTATGCGAGTGTACCGAAACGTCAGGAGCACAGTTTAATCGTGGTAAGAATCCTTTTTCTTATGTATCAAAACATCTTGATGCCTTCAAGTCTCGTATAAATTCGTTCGGCATTGGCAACGCTAGAATATATAGGTAGATGAAATATGCAGGATTACATATCTTTTGGTTTTATATAATGAAATGCACATAATCTTATTTTACACTACTTATTTGAGATACAAAGGCACATAGTTTACAGGTTAATCAGCAGTGGAAACAATCACTAAGGTTTTAATAAACAAATTTCATCTCTAGGTTGTAGACATGCGCTGGGGCGTGCGTGACGAAGCCACCGACGACCATATGACCACAGAGCTATGCATGCGTGAGATAAAGAATTGCCAGCGATTGTCTATGGGTCCAAACTTTGTTGTGTTCCTTGGACAGAAGTATGGTTATAGGTTAGTACCAGTTATTAAATTATTTAAATTTTCGTGAGACATTATGTGAGCGACGGGCCGCGTCCGCGAAATAATACCAGTACCGCTCGAAACTAGTCGGTGCCGCCACCGGACGAATATACGTGAGTGTTTAGCCGTTTTTATATCAGTTTAGTACCAGTTAGTTTCTACCATTGACTTGTTTTGAGGTAGTTTTATGTTTTTATGAGGTGCTTTAGCGTGGTCTTATATAGTTCTAGCTGTTGTCCGCGACTCTGTCCGTGCGGGATTAAAAAACTAAATTATTATTAGCCTTTGTATTCTTCTACATCTGTGCCAAATATTTAAGATCCCTGCATGCTTTAGAGATTCTTTCTAAAAACAACCATCCAGCCAAACCTTCACATTTATAATATTAGTAAGATAATGGGAAAATAACGATAACTGGCAGCTGACTCCATTGTCAAACTGCACCAAAATCATTGCCTGACTTGTCTCGAAGTGTTGATATCCATATCTGTTTCCTCTACAATTATTTCTAGACCAATACCAACTTACGTGCTGTCTTCGGAGCTGCAAATGTTGAGAGACGAGCTGGCGGCAGGCGGTGTTGATGTCATTCTACTGGATACTTGGTACAAGAAGGATTCCAATGCTGTACCTCCAGTGTCTGTACTGCAGCCAATATCTTCTATACTCGTCAATTTTAATAACAAAGTAAGTTACAAAATCTAAAAGAAAACTTTATTTTTTAAATTGTTTTTCGTTATTTTTTAATTTGTTAATAGTGCCACTCCAAATAAAGGTAAAAATTATTGTTGGCATTAGTAGTTATTATTCACAAATTTAGATATTATTATTATAATTAAATCCTTTCTCGATCTCGAAATAGATTTTTTAATTTGCAGACCCTGACGTTCTATTGCTTTGAAAGATTGTTACCAAACAGAGTTTCGTCTCGTACTGAATCTTGAATGATGTGGATAAAATTCTTATCTAGGTTTGGTGTTATGAGTTTAATGCGACTATTCGTGTTTGTTGCATGTAAATCCGAAAGTATGCGGCAGGCATTACTTAAATGATTTATGGAAGCTTTCTTGTCTTCGCCGCTTAAAAGAATGTTTAACGCTCGGTTGGCGGCAGTTATGCCCGATCCTAATTGTTGCTGATGGGCAACTAGGATCTTGTCTCTGTTCCTAACAGAGTCCGCTACGGCTGCAGATATTTCGGCATTTAGCTTAGGTGCTTGTAACAACCTACAATTGTCGGGTATGAGGTAATCTTTTAATAAATTATCTTTCTTATCTCTAGGCAAGCCCTTAACCAAAAGCGGAAGCCATAATTTAGCCAAACTTTCGTGGATTTTTTCTCCAAACTCTGAGATGTCACTGGTTGACTCACCGAGGGCTTCTAAAATATCAGGGTCCAACTGTGGATCGCCTGATTCGCCTCTTGTATCCGGTAAAGGGTCAGGATCGGGATCGGGCGCGAG